TGGACATGATGACTAGAAAAAGCCTAATAGAAGCTCAAGTTAAGCCATTTTTTTCTTTATCAACAGGAATCTTCCCAAATAGAATGAAAAGTGCTAAGGTAATCCCATTATATAAAAACAGAGATAAACATAGCTCCTCAAACTACAGACCAGTTTCATTGCTGCCACAGTTTTCCAAAGTGATAGAAAAAGTTTTTGTTACAAGTTTGGACAAAAATACAAACAAAAAAGTATCCTAAATAATCCTCATTGTTGAAAAAACATTCCACATCTATGGCAATTATGGAATTAACTGATAAATATCAACAGCAATAGAAAATAAGGATTTCTGTGAGGTTTTTGACCATTAAAGACTTGGAATCAGAGGTCTGAATTGTGTTGTATTAAATATGGAGTTCCACAAGGGCCGGTACTCGGACCCAAGTTGTTCATGTTGTACATCAACAAATTTGTACATTTATCAAAATGATCCGGCAGTTATCTATTTGTGGACGACACACTATTTTACACTGGAAAAGATTTACAAGTACTAATGCAAGTGATAAACTCTTAATATTGGGTTGATCTAATTAGATTGTCACTTAAACTTAAGTTAAACTTTAATCTTAAGACTAATTTTCTATTGTTTAATAGCAGAGAGAAAAATTATCATTAAAATGAGGTGGAGTGGAACTTCAAAAGGTTAAAGAACAAAATTGTTAGTAGTCATAATTGATGACCTTATATGGAAGTCACACATTTATTATATTAAGGGAAAAATATCAAAAGCCATCGCCATTTTACATAAAGTAACATTTTCGTTATGGTTTGTTAACATCGCACAACTTGCTGATTGTGCCATACTTCATTTATTATGTGGAAATATGGGGATTAACAAATAAAACTTATATACAACTATTATTTATTTTGCAAAAAAACCTTTAAAAATGATGAGTAATAGTCATTTTAGAGCATCTTCGAATCCATTATTCATATAATATCAAATATTTAAAATGATTTGAAAGTTTTACAAATAATATATAAATAGAAATATTTTAAATAAACATTCAAAGCTTGAAAAAAGAGTAAGTAGTTTTAGTTTGAAAGGAATAAAGGTTTTATTCAAAACCAAAGTAAAAGAAAAATGCGAACAATTATGGATCAGCCTCAAGAAAGAATCAAGATATAAAATATTTAAAAAATGTTTTACATTACATGTAAGAAAACTATTGAATAATTTAGTTCCTAATGTTTAAAATCAAACCCTATTTAAAGAAGATGAAGTTACTGGATTGAATTATATTTAATTAGGTTTGTAAAAGTGGCCAAAAATAAATAAGAATTATTCTTCTTTCTGCTCCTTTTCATTCAAAATGCTGTAATGTATCAATTTCAGCTTTTCTGTAATTATTAATGAAATAAATGAATGAAATACATATTTTCATTCATTCATTTATATATATTTTAGCTATGAAAACAAAAAGTACGGAGCTCTTTGAGAAAATGTTAGCTAAGTATTCAGAAATAGCAACACATTGAACTTTAATAAATATCTTTTATTTCAGCTCTGTTATATGAGGACATGGAGAAAGTTAAACCAGGCGTCTGCATCCGGAGCTGCAAGTCGACCTAAATAAATAACTTTGGCTAAAAGTGAAACAGAACCAGCTAATTTTTTTTATTTTTTCTTACTGAATATCAGCTCTGAATTCAAACCACCCCAAAAATAACACTAATGTTTTTTTAGGCATACCACCAATATTTAATATATGTTCATTCCAATTTCGACCAATACCATTTTTTTTTTCATAATGGTTTTAATGGGATTACAGTCTTTTATTCTTATTTTAAAAACAAAACAAAAACAGCCAAATCTGTAAAACAGTAAGCGTTTCTTTTAACTGCCCCATGAGGCATTGCTGTAACATATCAGCTAAAAGTTTAGAGCAGAGATGGAGGATCTGGAGTCATCAATCATCTCTATGTCCTGTATTTGCTCTGACCAGGTGAGTCCAATCTGCACAGGTTAAACCAGATTGGACTCACCTGGTTCAGTGTCTGGGTTGAACAAATGCATGACAAAGAGATGACTTGTTGACTCCAGACCCTCCATCTCTGGTTCAGAGTGGTGATAGTGGCTGATTTTCACACCTCCATGGAGATAGACATGATCAGTCGATCACCGATCTCCCAAAATTAATTAAATCGATGCGGATAGATCGGCCGTTTGATCAATCGGTGCTCCTGTTTTCTGTTGTCGTTACGTTGGCCTCAAATAAAGCGACGGTTCATTGAAAAATGACGAAGTTTTAAGCCTCAGTATTTAAACTCATCATATTAGCAGCTCTTGGATGGTTTAATGGTGACCGCTGTAGGGATCTGTCTAATACCTGGACTGATCTAAAACCTCAGACCCGGAGCAAAGAAGAGAATTTTCCCGATAGAGTAAAAAAAAAACATAAATTTCTTCCATTTCTCACAGGAAACCTTCACTGCTCCCCCACAGACCCTCAGTCACAACCAATCGTTCGCTTTCAAAGGTTTTATTTGCAGATCAGCGACTCTGAGCGTTAAAATCTGTTCACAGACCGCGAGACTTTAGTCGATCAATTTTAGGCCGTTTCTGTGAAACCAGGAGAACTTTGCTCTGAGCTGCTGAGGAACATTTATTTTCTACGTTGCTACAAAGTCCAGTTTTTATGGAGAGAAATTTGTGCCAACATTATTGAAAGCAAAGAAAATGGAGAAAATTCTCAATCAAATGGTGGATTAGAACCTTTATGGAGAGTTAAACTAATATGTTTACAGTTTATTACTTTTTTACATTTGATTTTTTTAATTGCATTTCCAATAGATTTTTGTTTAAAGTTTTCTACATTTTTTTTCAGACTCTTTCAAATTGTTTTTGCTTTCATTTTATTTCCAAATGTACGGAAGAGGGCCACTGAAAAAAAAAAAAAAAAAAGTTAACAGATTTTTTTTATTATTTTATTTCAGTATAGTATGGGGAAAAAGTCAGAATTCTGACTTTAATCTGAGAATTCTGACTTTTTTCCCATGTTAAACTGAAATAAAATTTAAAA